TTGAGGTATTTGTATTTTACATGAGTGTTTCCATTTTATGCTTCTTACTACTTCTTCTCCACTTCATTTTAGAGGCGAAACTTGTGAGTGTGAACTTTTTGCCCGCCACAGTGAAAGGCACCCTGTCCCAGTTCTCCACAGTGAAACCTTATGTCCGTGTCCACAGAGTGTGCCAGCAGCAGCCGACTGGTAGGAACATTCCTGAGCGTGTGTGCCCTGACAGTGCTGTGCGGGCTGGTGGTGGTGGCGGTGTCCCGGCTGCTGCTACAGAAGAGAGGCTTGTCACCAGAGGGCGCTGCTGAGGACAGAGGCTATCACTGCACTGGAAAGGTTAGATCTCAAAAGTCAAGTACGCTTGAGGCGGTCAGCAGGGTTTTAATTGGGGGAAAGGCTGAAGTGTCCCTGAAGCCCGGCCTCAGAAGCATCAGGGACCCCTCAGTGCAGGATATTTTTGTTCATGTGTACTGTCCGCTGAAACCAAGAGTGAGAAATTTGAGTCTGCTGTTATGAGGTACAGCTGTATTTTACATTTCCTCTCAACTCCCAGCTCGCCATCTACAGTGTCCAGATTTGTGACCTTACAATGATGTACAGCACCTTTGAGAAGAAGGAAGCGATGAACATTTCACTGGGGAGGGGGGGGGGGGGGGGGGGGGGGGGGGGGGGGGGGGGGGGGGGGGGGGGGGGGGGGGGGGGGTTCTGGAGACATGTGTGCCCAAAGTGGTGTGAAAGTATTTGGAACCCCTCATTTATTGTTCATCATTCACTGCAGATCATCTTAATGGCACAAATGACTGCATGAATTCTTAAATGGAGCACAATTCCCTGCTGATGTTGCAGACGTAACATTATACTCTCAGGGGGATCTTGTTCTTATTTACATTAGCTGGGAATTTTGCAAGTGTTGGAAAGCTGCACATACTCCCTCAACAAATGGTCACTCTCTGCATTTTAGGTTGAATATTTATGAAATCCACCCAAAGGGAGCTCCTGATTTTAAAAGGCCACTATTAAAGTCAATGTACTAGTCACTTGGATAACAACACAGCAAAATATCCAAAATGCATTGCCCTTGTTAACCTGCCATCCCTGTGCATCTCCTGGGTGCTGACCCACATGCTGTCCTCTCGAGACCCAGACTTATAACCAGCACAGAATTTGTAGCGTTGTTTTACTGACCAGGAAACTCACCAACCAAATGCATGTGTTAAATCACCTCATGTGATGGTACTTAGCCAATCAGATCTGCGTATTACAACTTGAGCGAGGGAGCTGAGACACTCACACAGGACAGATGAGATGAGAGACAACAGTTGGATAAAGGAGAGAGTCGGAGAAAAGTAGTTTCACATGGTGTGTTTCAAAGAGAGAAAAGTAGACAGTGAAAATAGAGCTTTAATGAGGGCTGTGCAGAGAGGCCTGGGCAGGTGCTCCAGGTTAAAAGGGGGCACATGGAGCAATATTTTAAACCAATCATTTAAAGCATAACCTGTTATATTATACGCAACATGCAAACTTAGAACAAACTGCATAAAATCAGAGGGGGATACTATGACTTAAAGTGAGGAAATTTGAGTTGACTGCCCCTTTAAATTTCCCAAAAACTCTACAGAAAACCACATGGACTTGATCATGGTCATAATTAGCGTAATACTGAACAGGAATCCTTTGACATTTTCACATAACCTTTGAAGGATTTTTAATTAAATCTCAAATACAATGACTTTCCTTTCATTTTCGTAACTGCTTATCCTCTTTGGGGTCGCAGGGGGGCTGGAGCCTATCCCAGCTGACACTGGGCGAGAGACTATCACAGGGCTGACACATAGAGACAGACAACCATTCACACTCACATTCACACCTACGGACAGTTTAGAGTCACCAGTTAACCTGCATGTCTTTGGACTGTGGGAGGAAGCTGGAGTACCTGGAGAAAACCCACGCTGATACAGGGAGAACATGTAAACTCTGGGCCTCCATTTTTTTTTTATAAAAAAAGCTGTACAGATGGATAACTTCAGTTTTTAATGTAATTAGATTTAATATAATATGCAATGTGTGTGTTTCGCTTTTGCTGACTGCATATTCCTCTCACCCTTCAGGACCTGTCGTACATCCCAACAACCAATGAGAAGACAGTCACCTACAGGCGGGACCGTCCGCCTGACCGGCCCGTTGAGATGCACATCCAGGTTTCCAAGATGAACCTCAGCGACGCCTGGCAGTGCTAGGCAAAGGTCAAAGGTCAGACGGATATTAACACAGAGGGAGATTCAACTAAAGGCTTCTTTTCTGCCTCTAAACCTTCATGAAACTTCAACCAGCTGCATGTGGAGACGCAGATAACGAATAACTAAACTATGAAACCTCCATGGGATCCCATTGGTTAAACGAACTGACCAAGCTCTCATCAACTGTGTGACTGAAGTGGCCAGTATCCTGGAAGACGAAACGAAGAGCACATGCCCCCCCACCTCTTTTTCTTCTGTAGCAGCTTCTTCCGCAGGGTATAGGGTGGTCGTTCTTCACTTTTTAGCCATGCAGCAATCACTGCTCTAACTTATGAGTGTGTGTGTAAGCGGGTGTGTGTGAGAAAGAGAGATAAGGAGAGTGCATGTGGTGCGGGTAGATGCATTTTTGCTCTATTTAGGCTTTCTATTTATGATTTTATAGTAAAAACACTACATGTTTTGGGTTTATGTGATCATGAGGCACTCCAACACTTCAATGCGCCAACTGAACCATCTCCCTGTCTTATTCTGCCCCCTTGTGGCCAGCTTGAGGTACGACATTTTCTCCTCCAATAATACTGTCAACACATTACTGACCTCAGCTGTACTGCCTTGGGATTTAATCCACAAAGCACACCATTGACTCTGTATGCCTTTTTTTGTGTTCTTGATTTATTTAGATGTTTAGTCATGTGTGGCATACTTCTCGTTTCTTTGTTGCATTTTGTTTTTGTTAACCGATCAACTGCAAATTAGTGTTACCTTATGACATTTTTTTTTTATCATGATCAGTGAGAGTATAGTTTCATGTGATTGTCAGTCGTTGACGATCTGATTAGACTTGCACTAGAACAATTGTTTTTGCATTATACTACTGAAGACTGTGGGATCTCTGGGGCAGGAGAGCTGCGATTGTGGGTTTGAAATGATTAGTCTCCTACATGTTGGGCATTAGAAGTCACCTATCTACGCATTAAGTGCATTTGAAGCTAATGTAACAAATCCACAACACTGGAATAACTATGGATTGGAAAATCTTATTTTTAAAAAAGCGACATACTGGCAAGTAATGGCAACTGCATCATCAAACACCTGCACGTATAGCCTCTATAACAGACAGAGAGCAATGAACTGTGTCTGCATGCATCTACTGATCATCCCAGAGCCATTACTGATGCATTTAGACTCCGAGACTAACTCCTGGGCAGAGGTACAAATCAGCTCTGAAGGCACTGGGATCAGTGAGATCAGAGGAGGACTTACACCCCTCATGCACTAGATCCTCTGGATCCAGAGTGCCAGTTGCATCTTGTAAGACTTGCGCTCGCCCAATCCTGTTCCTCTTTGAGTTTTATTTAACACATTGTTGTTTACAGCAATAGCTGCTCTCTGTTACTGTAAGTCAGGAACACTAATTATTATTTATTGTGGGTTTTTTTTTCCTTTTTATTTATGTTAATTGTACTATTTTATGATTAGGCTACTTGGGTTACAGGTAGTAAGTACTGTTTGTGTTTATGAAGAGTGTTCTCTATCTCTAACCACGAGAGTAATGCAGCAATAAGGTTATAATCATCTCATCTGACCGGACACTGAGTTCGGAGTAACAACAGCACTTTCCTGTGTAGTTTTGCTGTCTATTAATGTGATTAGTTGCGTAGCATGAATGTTTTCATCACAATAAAATGTGCAAGATTTTTTTTTTTATCATATCTTGAGCTCTTTTTTCCTCTAAAGGTTGTATTGGAAATATTTTGAAAGAAAATGTGGCCTAAGTCAAGTTAGTCTGGTGAAAAGTTTAACACATTTTTACTAAGATAGTGTCTCATTTGCAAGCTGTATTTTTAACTATGAGCTCAATGTTTTTAGGTCAGGCTAATGTATGGTTTTAAGCAGATCAGGCAAATAACTAACAAAAAGGGAAAAGCATGGTGTGACCAACGTGTGTGCTCCAAAAAAGAGCTGCTATATAAACTGAACACTAGGTGGAGATGCACACTAAGGCAACTGAGATGACTTCCACTGAGGCAAGAGGCAGTTACAGAAAGTGTGCAACATACAGTGTTTGATAAAGTATCTGTACCGCTCTTTGTCAACAGAATGTGGCTGATTTTATTCTCACAAGCTTGCAGGTAAAAAGCCTATTTTATACCCCAACTGAACTGAAACATTACTACAAGTTCAAATATAATTGATTTAATTGCACATGTCTAATACAATGTACAGCTAAGCCTACATCAAAAATCAATTGATCAAATCCAAGAAGTGAATTTTAAAAATACTTTAAATTATTAAACTTAACTTGCCTCGTTTACAGTGTGACTAATTCTAGCAGCACTTAAATTGTATCTATTTTATTTATTTTTTGCTAGTTTGAAATAGATAGATATAAGATATAAGGAAATAGACTGTTTTATATTTGTAATTCCCAAAAAAGAAGTAAAAAATAATGTACAAAAATGCTAAGGCTAAATCACAGGCCTAACAAGGAAGGAAATATATTCAAAAAATTGTCCTCTTTATTGATAACCATTTATATCCATGACTTACAAGCAGAGATGAATCATAAAAATTTAGTCTTTCATCCAAGCGTGTTTTGAAATAACCTATAATGGGATATATTAACCTTAAATAAAAATTAGAGTGATTATGTCAGAAATAACCCAGATATTAATCTGACAGGCAGCTTGTTTAATGCTGAACAAACAGTAGAGTTTGAAGATAATAAATTACGCGCATATAACTTGTCTTCAAATAACACAAGTCTGATAAAACTGTAGAGTAAAAATTTATTTTTTAAAGAAGGCTACAAATAACATTTGAGGTAAAGACACAGTGTTCATCCACAGCTGAGGTTCATCATAAAGTGCCATTTCAGTTTTTAAGTGTCCAAGAAAACACTCCACGTGTTGCTTTGTTCGTGTTTAGCTTTGTAAATTATTCCACCGCACGCTGTCCCTCCGTGGTTTGGACAGTCTCACGCACGTGCACCCCGGGTGACTGGCTCGGGCTACCGGAGAGGCTGTTGTCCGTGTCGCTGCTGCCTTTAGCGAGTCCCGGTTCCGCGCCATCCTCCGAGCCCTCTGCGCTGTGCGTCCTCACGTGCTTGCTGAGGTGGTCGGAGCGCATGAACCGTTTGTGGCAAATGGAACACTCGAATCTCTTCTCCCCGGTGTGCGTGCGTAAATGCCGCTGGAGCTCGTCGGAGCGCGTGAAGCGTTTCCCGCAGAAGAGCCAGTTGCAGACAAACGGCCTCTCTCCGGTGTGCCAGCGCAGGTGGGCCTTCAGGTGAGAGGTCTTGCCGTAGACTTTACCACAACCAGGGATGTGGCAGCTGTGTAAGCCCCTCCGCCGCGGGCTCGTGCCCCCCTGGCCGAGGCTCTCCGCCTCCTGACAGTTCGGGCAGTCGCACGTGGCCCTGCCGGAGTACCGCCGTGATGAGGAGCGGGAAGATGGTAGAGAAACGACGGTGGTTCCTGTCAGCGCAGGTGCACCCGTCGTTGTAGACTCTGTGTAGGGAGCCTGGACAGGTGGTCTGAAGCCGTCAAACAGGTGCTGTGTGGCGGGAAGCAGGTGCTGAGAGGCACTGGGGCCGAAGGCCGGGCTGTAGTCAGTGCTGTAGCCGCTCAGATGAGAGGGCAACCCGGCCGGGCTCTGTGTGTCCACCCAGCCGGTCCCCATGTCCCACCAAGCAGTGGACCCGTTACTGACGTCTCCCACTGGCTTAAACCACGACTCATATGGATGTGCGTGCATCCTCGGATAGATCCCCGTTATGCCCTCTACCGAGGAGGGGAATTTGGTCAGAAACACAGACCGCTGTGCGTGCGCAGGATCGGGAACACTGTTGTCTGATGGCACAGAAGTCTGGTACATCGAAAAATCATTTCCAAAAGGAGAGTTGGCAGAGGTCACTGAGAAAGCGCTGGAGGTCTCTGTCAGTCCGGTCCCGTTACTCCTGGAGGTTCCAGAGGGAACACCGAGAGATGTGAAGCTAGCACCAAGGCTGCCGGTCCCCGGAGCGCCTCTCCTCCACGGGTGAAAGCCCTTCACCAGTCCGGGGGCTCCATCGGAAAGAGCAGGGGAGCACGAGGGGCTGGGCTCACCGATTCTGCTGCAGGTGGCGGCCAGCATTGCCAGCGGAGCGCTGCCGAGCCGGGGCTCCTCCTGTTGGGAACACACAGACATTTAGGCCTGTCACTTTGCCACACATGCTGTGCGTAAAGACCCACAAAATGTAGCCTAAACTAGTGTTGGTACGCGATTTGCGCAAAATTTTGGGCCTAACGGATTAAATTAAGTCATGTAAATTAATAACTTGACCTGGCTGACGTTTTACAAACAGCGTGCGTGTGACTTGGATCAGTCGGAGACAATGGAGGAGCGTCTCCGAGTGTTTTGTCAGCCAGCAGCACCGACGCTACAGCAGGTAAACTTTTTCATACCATGAATAACAAATAAAGTGGACGTCTGTGCCACACTGTATCGTCATTAGATCAATCGCATAGCACTGAGAGTTTCTAAAATCTAAATGGATAATGTGCCTTTCAATTAAACACGCTTTTACGCACAGCTCGACGAACTGACATGATCAGTGAAAACAACCGCTGTTAATAAAGAGTAAACATATTATCAAATGCACAGTATTATGGATATCACTGGTTATGTCAGCAACGCAACAGGAGTTAAGTAACTTTGGTTAACCGTGTGCTTTGAACGCAACACAGACTGAGCGCTTGAAAGATATTATAACTATATAAAACAAATATTTTATCGACTTTTGGGATTATTAAGATGTTTAAGAAAATACATAGAAATATAAACTCACCCCGAGCAGTGTAGCAGCCATGGTCTGTGCTGAGATATCGTCCTCTGAGTGTGTGTATCTGTGTGTGTGAGCGCTCGCGGTGACTGGATGTGATGAGTCCGTGTGTCCTCTCTCACTGCTTCAGTAGTTGTAGCTTCTTCGTGTCTTTGAAGTGCCGCTGAGAGCCGGAGGACCAATCAGGGAGCAGCTCGCACTGTCTGACTGAGCGTTTGCGCTCGAGGACGTCGTAAATTTTAAAAGTGAGGTCTAGCGGCTGGCGCGCTGCAAAGTGCAACAAGTAGGAGAAAATATCAAGTCAGAGAAGACAATGACTCCTGTGGAGCTGTTTAACCACAACACATCCTTCACACACACCACACTCTTACTTTTATAAACAGGTGTTTGACTCATCGTGTAGCTTACATGTGTCATCATTTGTGTGATACAGTTTTATTAGAAATGGTCAATTCTTTACTTATTTACAGAGCTAAAAATGCTCCATTATAACCAGGCAAAGTGGGCAAAATGCAAGACACTTTGGTGAGATCCAGATCACTTTACTGCCCATTAGATTTGCATAAAATGGAAAACTGTTTTTGGCACACAGGACAACACACACCATACACAACAATTATGCATCTTCAAATCTGAAACTGACCAAGTGGCAGTAATTAAAGTAATGAGTGGTTTGTTCCTACACTGGCATAGTCTATAAAAGACAACAATGCATTATACTCAGCTGTGTTTGACAATGAATAAATAAATGTGCATTAAAATAAGTAATGGTTTTGGTAACAGATGGGGAACTGGCTAATTGATTGCATTTAAGATGTGTTAAATTTGAGTGTATATATTGACAATTTGACCTAAAAACAAAAAGCAACAGCACTCTCCAGGTAAAGAGACGTCTTGACAGTTTAGACAAGTGTGATTAAAGTTTGTCACTCCAAGGTTTTGAATGTTTCAGACAGGAGAGGCTTTGTTTCTATACAACCTGATGTTTTTTTTCTACTGACGTTGTGACACCATGCAGATGGAGAGGCTGATGAATGAGAGGCAGGCCCGGTTCATCCCATCCTGTCCCTGGGGCGTATCTTGTCAGCCCTGGGGCAGGGAGGGGAGGACACCACCGCTGCCTCTGCAATTTCATCTCATTCAACCCAAAACAAATGTTGTCTTTCAAAGAAAAAGAAGAAAAAAACACCTCTTCCTGTGTTTACCTCAGTTTTATAGATGATTTAAAGCTCAGACTCAAGCTGTGAGGGGAAACGTCTATCACTTGAATGCAAACAGGTAAAGAGGTAATCCTATTCTTAAACCATGGATGGTCAACCAGTGTGATGACGCACACGCTGGAAATAAACCCAGAATGATCTTCAGCCTCTTAATATAGGAGCAAAACCACAGAGGGAGCATTTCATTTGAATTTCAAATTTAATAAAACAGCAGGATTTAATCCATTTCCTTCATTTGTTTGGTATTAACTGCTTCCCTGCCCTTTCTTCATCTCTCTTGTTCTATCACCAGCCCGAATGAAGTCAGCCGGACACACATAGATGGAGAAGTTAATCACATTCCTCATCCACTCAACCCCCCCCAACACACACACACACACACACACACACACACACACACACACACCAAGCCAGCGTTTACCCCGGGTGATTGATAGTGTGCAAGATTAATTTTGGTGATGCTATGCAAAGACAAATAGTTCACTCCATCAGAGAGCTTCACATGGTCTGTTGTTTAAAAAATGTTTTCAGAGATATTTTTTGAAATGTGTAAAGATGAGTAGGTCATGTAGATTATTCTACATTATGTTTAGTGGCTAACACAAAGCATACAGATGCACCTCTAATATCTCACATACAGATGCAATACATTTCACACTCTGGCACCATTACCCCCACTCTTTTAAACAGAGCTCTCTGTGCAGGTAGTCTGTAATTTTGTAAAGGGATTATCATGATTTTCTATCTAAATCTGTGGGCTTTAAAAGCAGCCATGGCTTTTTGTAAATGCCATAAGACTATTTTTCTAAAGAACTGGTTTGACAGAAACCTATTTCTGATGAGTCAAGTGATTATCCCAGAAGGTCGTCGAATTATGAACGCTGATGAATTCATTTCTCATTTAAAGTCTCCTGTCACAGTTAAGGAATTGGATGGGTCCAACACCTGACTTTCACCCGAAGTCCTGGTGTTCACCTCTCATATGAAAACTGAGCCGAACCCTAATGTTTTTTTCCGTAACCTAACCACATGCTTTTGTTGCATGATGAAGTAAACGTCATTACGAGGTGTTGACGATGCATCTAAGGAGCAGAAACTGCACAGTTCAAATACCAACTGATACCAATTATTGGGTGTAAATTAACTTATAATAATGATTTCAGTAGGTCAAACAGGCACATCCACCTTACTCCTAGCCCCCATGATACGTTGCGTGAATTATGGGGGCATCTTCAAGCGTTGAACTGAAACTGGCGATTTCCAATGGTAACAGTTAGTTTACAGTACTCTGTTCTTCTTTCCGAGCAACTGGGAAATAAAGCGTGGAACACACCACCTGTTATAGCTCAAACAGGATTATGTGATCATACCTCTGTCATCTCTGACAGCCATCTCAAAGCTTTTCAACCGAGCATGCTAGCAATTAGCTCGCCTTGCTCTGTTAAAATATTGTTAACTTTAACATGGCCGAGCTAGCTTAAGGTAACATCTGCTCCTTCTAAAGATGATTTATGATTTCTGATGACTTATTAAGAGACACTGACACATTCAGCAAATATTTAACATAATTCACTTTTAACTGTAGCTCCATGTAAAGTGAATAAACGTGATGTTTCCCAGCTAATCCTCCATTCGTCTGCATTAACGACGCAGTTTCCACGTTTTTTAATTTCTGATTTATTAAAAACTGAGTGAAACATGAAGCTGAATTTAGCAGCAGACTTCAGTAATAGTAATATAAAGTAGGAGTAAAAGAAATAACTTTTGGCATTCATTTTTTATATGATATAAAGGAAGTACAGTAAATCAGTAACACATTCTCAGCCCTAATGACTAAATACATATTTCAAGGTATGCTGCTGAGTTTATTTTATAACCAGCAGTTTACTAATGTAGGTTGAGAATGAAGTCAGACGGGAAAACTTGTGAAAACTCTTGTGGTTTTATTTCTCATATCAATGGTAACCATGGCAACAGGAACAATCCCTTTTTGTTCTGGTTACATGTTCAACACACAGTTGCTGAAGACAAAAATTTAGCTTAGACTGGTTGTTAGTCGTTACAGATGCGGACAGTGCAACAGGTACCAGAGCTCCGCAAAGACATTTTAGAAAATGCTAAGTTAACATTAGTTAAGTATTTGTTAAAATAAATCAGTATTTGCTAAACTGAAGGCAAATTACTTTAAAAAAGAACCAGTGTTGTTGGTTAGCCACCAAGAGTAGCCACTGGGACTAACCACAGACAGTCTATGGGACCAACTAGCTTACTGCTACCTCTGCTATCTTCTGGGAGTTGCGCACATAATCATTTCTACAGTAGTGCCCTCAGGAATAAGGTGGATAGCACAACATTTTTTTGAGTTTTAGGATTTTTCTAAAGTTTTTTTTTTTAATCATTTATGAAAATTTCTTATTTAAAAAAAAAACACAATAAAATGGTGGTCTATCATGGATCTATTTAGGTGTCATTTTGGGAGACACTGATAACAGACCGGACAAAATCACAGGCTCCCACATTGGCCCTGGTTTTCCCCCACAGCCTGAGGCACAGCTCTATGCACAGGTGGAGTTTACAGTAGGCCATCTTGCCATCCTCACGAGCCACCCAAACAGCTGTCCCTCTTTTAAATGCATTCTTTTCCCACACTGAAAGTGTGTGTGCTTGCATGTGTGTGTGTGCTTTAAAGGTCCCCAGTGAAACCCTGTCTGAGCCTCAACCTGTTCCTTTGGCGATGATAATGACCACATTATCTCGCGCCATCGAACGTCGACAAAAAAAGATTGTCGTGTGCTTTCCAATCACTTTGTGGGCACTGAGACAGAAAAAGCAGAGAGAAAAGAGTGAAATAAAGATCTGGCACCTCTCGGGGAGAGGGATGGGTGAAGTATTTTATTTCTCCTTGGTGTTTTCCTCAACTTCTCTTTTGTTGGCGGGGTATAGTCACAGTTATCCAGAGGGCAGGGCGGCCATCTTGGTCAGCTGCCCTGCTGAGACAATTAGCAGGAGAATCAGAGAGTCAAAAGACAAGCTGCTAAACATGACACAAAAAATATTCATCACAACCAGGGGGTTAGCCAGTCAATTTGTGTATGAGAGAGAAAAAAGCAAACAGGTTCCAGATTGTGTAAAGTCCTGTGGTGTATTTGTGACAACAATAACCACTTGGTGCTCCCTCTTAGTAGTTACTTACTGCATTCTCATTTCTCCTGTTATTATTCTGTTGTTAATAATATTGAATATTGTGAAGCCTCGAATGATTGGAGTAGAAACATGACTTGGGCTAGCGTTGCACTCAAGTAATAAATTTGATGACTTAGGAGTCAGCTTGACTAAATAAAAAAACACTTGCAACACCACTTGGTTGGACTTTAATACCAGTGACTGACTTGAGCCTTTTAACTTGAAAATACTTGATACCTTACCCCAAGCCCAAAGATTAGAAATATGTTATTTAGATAGTGTGCTATGGATCAAATTATTTCCCTTCATTTCCAGAATCAACTATGTATTCCCAGCTAGTTGACACCTGATTCCCCAAATTCACTTTGTTAGAACCAGTCTGACAGCATCTGATCCAGTTGCACGGGAGAACTATGAAGAACTAATGTTTAAATGAAACAGAAGCTAATTTAATTTGCATACAAAAACTATAAGGTGGACAACAACAATAAACTGCAGTATGCGCATGTGCAGGTAGAAAATAACAGATGGAGACACAACAACTTCCGTCTTTGTTTGGAAATTTGAAGTTGCACAAAGAACAATAAGTTCAGACCAAAGATCTGCGACGGGATGAGTTGAAACAGGCAACTACTTGCTTCCGTTCTATAAACCTGTTGGTTCACACCAATGCAACTATTTGAGATGGTGTATCATCGCTATGCAACA